GCATGAATGTGCTGCATGCTGGTGATCTATGTATTTATGCATTGTAGTTCATGTGCAAGTGCAATGTTTTAGGATTAACAAGACACAGCTAAGTAAAAGCCTTTTTTATTGATCTGAATGTTATTTAGAAGGCTGGGTAAGGATGTTCTTCTCAATTTGTGTAAATTTCCTGAAACCGAAAATCTGGCAGTCAGGCCTGCCATGCACATTGGCCAGATGTACAATATAATAAACTTATATGGCATGAAATTAGCAGCTTGTCCAATACAAAAGAGTTCTGCTTCAGAACTTATTTAACGTGCCAGAGTGATGTTGTAAAGAGAGATAAACGTACACACAACATGATGTGATGCCTAACCATGCCAAATAAATGCAGGGACAGATACCTTCACTAAGTGAATAAGTGCAACAGAAACAGCAAATTTGTTTTATATAGCATAATACAGATTGCATTGCCCCATAATACCCAATTTATATGGAAATGAGACTATATTTGTTTAACTGTGTATTACAAAGATATGTGGTTTAAATCTGTTTAGCGTAATACATTAATATATTTGATGGACAAATACCTAGGACCTCTCTTGCTAAAATAAAAAATATACATATGGATTGAAAATATAATGTCACAATACAGAGCAAACCTTCATTAAGCTTACTTCTTCATTTATATTACTTAAAAAAAAAAAGAAAAGATCTCTTTCTCCTCTAACAGGGAGGATGTAGGACAAACAGATTGCTGCACTTAGGCACAGAGAAATGATGTCTCTTCAGGTCACCTAATGCCATGCGAAGTATAATTTGGTGACTGTACCTGTCATACCCATAATAAAGATACACTATCCTCAAGAAAACCCTCCCTCAGAGAGCCCTGCAGAGGGTTTTGCAGACACAGAAATAATAAAATGAGCTTAGTCAAGGTCAGTTGGTATAATAGACTATTGTCCATCACAGCCACAGTCACAATTGGAAGATAAAACCTGTGCTGAGCAGAGTCCAGAAAAAAATGTGTGGTTTTCACAGTCAATCCAGTTTTCAGGCAAAAAAAAAAAGTGTATTATTTGCTAATTGCCATTTGTAAAGATTAATTATGTGTCATTAAAATCTTCAGAAAACAAAAGACTACCTTGGTGCAATGAGGGGTATTGTTAACAATAATCACATGTACAGCTGCACTAACAATGATTGTCCATGTACAGTGCATGCACAGCAGTGGACACATTATTCGGATTAACCCCCTGCCCTATGGGGGTATTTTCTCATCAGTATTCGGAGTGTGGTTTTTTAATTTGAGAACATGACTTATTGATTTCACGTTCAGATTCTTAATGCTTTCCCTCAAATCTCTGCCCTCACACTTAAAAAGCCCCTATAACACAGCAGCCTCCCATCGATGTGCTAGACGGGAAAACAACGTCACTTTCATGGTTACGGACCGGGTCTAGTGGATCCCTGGCCAACATGGACCGCCAATGTAAAGCACCTCAGGTTTTATATCTGAATGGTGGAATGGAGGTATATTGCATTAACTTAAAAAATGGCTCTGTGTTTCTGAATTAACAAGATATATTCAGCACGCTCTCCATGCCCAGGGCCGGCACAAACACAAATCCTGTATCCAACCAGTTTGAACACAAGCCCAGCAAATCTGAGCGCAAGGAGCGGCCTTTTAAGTGCAAGGGCCCAGTTTTGAGGGAAAGCATTAAGAATCTGAATATTAAATCAATAAGTCATGTTCTTAAACTTAAAGAAATGTAAAAATGGTTAGCCTCTGTATCGAGCACAGCGTATTTCCACTCAAGTAAAGAGTCAAGTGGCACCTGTAAATCAATGAGTCTTTTGAAGTGCTCGACCTCTGAAAAGGGCACGATTTATGCAGTACTTACAAAGTAAGTTAACGAATTAATATAACAAAGTAACATAAAACACCTTCTCTTTTTACTTGTTGTGGGATTGTAGGAGTATGTTTGTCCTGCTTTTAGATTCCTGTCATTTTATATCTGGTGATACAATACATAGCACGATAAAGGGGATACGATTTAATATAATGCAATGCTTTAAGCAGTTTAACACATTTTTAAAAATTACATTTAGAACACTAAGATCTAGAGGTTGGGGGTTTAATGACAAAAATCGACACTACACTACATAACTTGTACTATATTTATCACAATCAATCACACACTGATGGCAGCAAGAGCTGGGGATCAAACCACAAACCCTGTGAATGGTGGATGACCCAGTCTAACCCCTGGCCCACAGCTGTCCAGATGAATAATGCCCTGAAGCCTTTTTGGTGGGGACATTTTTCCTATGTTTGGAAAGTTGACGGTAGAGATAGACAGAAAATAAAGGGAGAGCAAGTATTGGTTCTATTTGGCAATCTGAAAATGTTTTTTAATTCCAAAATCAAGCACATAATTTACCTTAACTTAAAAAGAGTGTAAGTGTCCTTACATTCCACGTACAAGTGTTCTATTTTCTATAGGTGGAGAAGTACACTGTTTACTTATCTGCACCATACATGAAGAGCTGCAGGAAGGGGTGCAAGGAGTACAAACATGCAAAAAAGATTTAGAGGGGGAGATGGGGAGACAGAGAAACGGGGGTGGAAAAAGCAATCATTTAAGCTTTGTTTTCTCAGAGTCTCTGACTCAGCGAAGGCGTTGGTGTTTGTCTTTTGGTGTATAGAGAAGGGGGACAGGATAGAGGCAAGATTTTGGCTTCTCACTCTGACAGCGCGATGTTGGGTTTACAGTAATTCTGATGTTTTAGGGTAATTAGGACATAGGGGAATTGTTTGGAAGAAAACTGTTTTCTACACACAAAGCCTTGCCCACACTTATCCAGGCACATCAAGGGCCTCCGCGGTTCACAGCGGTCTTTATGAGTGGCGAGTAATCCCTCGTACTGTAGGGTGATCAGCCGCTAACCAATATGTATGCAAAATCAATGTCTTTGAGGTGAGATGTAGAAAAGCCAACACACCTTCCAGGCAACTGGCATAAGTTTAGTATCATCCTGACACTTGGCATCAATTTACACAGCAGCGATATCCGTTTGGCTTTTGTCTTTGTGCAGCAGTCCAAGTGAAACTGGTAAAAGACTCTCTCTTCCTTCATCCTCCTACGCCATGACTCTTCCTCTATCCCTCCCTTTCTCTCCCTTTCTTAGTGTATTAGATGATGAAATCCTCCCTGCTGATTGAATCCAGAGAACGTTAACCTTCCCGTCAGCGAGGTAAGACACTCCCTGGAGCTCTCAGTATGTGTGTTAGTGTGTTGTTGAAGGCAGGCCAAGTGTTGCAATAAGAATAAGTCCTAATTACTGCTGTTCACTCTGCAAACATGTCTATAATTCCCCCAAAGGAAATTTTTTATGTAATACAGTGAACTATAAGATAAAGTGCAGTGTCTCTCCGTATATCTAAGTTCACTTAGTCTAATACAGTTACATTAAAGTAAATACTCTGGTGGCAGAGATGAGCCGAAATGGTTAAGAAAGCTTTAGCACAAGCACTTGTCCATATCTGTACGGATGTATGTTGCTTACACACAGACACACACACAGACACAAATGTATGCAGATGCACACATGCATACACATCCCCATGTGTTATTTTGCAAAGGAATTGCTGCTTCTTGTTCAATTCATTGACGTATGAATGACCTTGTCCATGTTATGTGTGCATTGATGTCAAATGTAATCTCATCCTAGCATTGTCAACAGATGGTTTCACACACACACACACACACACACACACACACAATAATGTGCAGCATGGAAACTGAAGTCCTACGAGCCACACCTCTTTGCCACATGGGGGAATCTCTAAAATATAGATCAGAGAGCTGAATTTCTGACAGCCATTTACAAATCTTTTGATGGAAGGTTTAAAGGGCCCCCTTTGAACTGCTTAGTTTTTTAATTAAAAGGCCAACAAACAAAATTCAAATAATAAATTCTCTGTCAAGCAGAGGCTTGCAACCTCCCTGAGGTGGTATCAAAAGCTAGGATAACAAGGCAAACTTTTCTTGTCTATTTCATACTGCAGGCTGGGTACACAAGTAAACAACTGTTTATATATGTGGTTGCATGCGTGTGCTTGTTTAACATATTCCTACCTTGTCGGACATCTCTGGGTGCTATGGCGATTGCTTCATTGGAATGCAGCTCAGTGACGCAGCAGTCGTCTGGAACCAGCGAACCGTTGCTGAAACTGTGCGGTGTCTCCGGAAGCAACGGAATAGGTGGTGCCATGATGTTGTGGTTCGGACAGATACATCCTGTCTGGGTCATCCCACAACCGTCTCCGTCAGAAACCTCCTGGTCTCCATTGTGACCTGTGCGTAAACACTCCTCAAACCATCTGCAGAGCACGCCGCAGGTAAACTGACTGGAGTTCTCATTGTTAATGAGTAACACCTCTACCAGTCTCAGCTCCAGCAATTCCTTAGTTACCTGAGGCTCGTCTGCAGATGGATGTCTCGTTAGACATAGTTGGACAAAGTTCTTATCAAACTGTAGGAAGGAGTACGGTCCATCTGAGTTGGACTGACTGCCACAAAGATCAATGACTTCCTGATCCCTGGCAGTGACTGTCTGTAATTGAAGGGGACAGCTTTGATTGGCCAGGTGGTGGTCAAGGGAAAGGAGCATGGGGGAGTGTGTCCGGCAAATGATAGGGTGGCGGGTGAAGCGGAGGTAGAGGGAGTACTTGGTGGGATCTGGGTTTTCCAGGGACCAGGAACAGCCAGGCTCCCTGGAGGGAAAGAGCTCCCTTAGGGAGAAAGAGCCATAGAGCACCCCAGCTACCAGACTGGAACATGGTGAGGAGATGGGCGAAGGGGCCCCTTCTGCCCCGGTGCTGGGGACGCCATCGGCAACCCCATAGGCAGCCTCAGCCAGGGCAGAGAGAGGAGCTAGAGCGAGGGCAGACACGGCAGCCAGGGCCCCAGCCACAGCCAGGAGAGAGGACAGCACAGACAGACACACCCCACCAGCAGTGTTCATCCTATGACATTCGTCCTGCAGGGGAAGAGAGAAGAGAGGAGGGAGGGGGGGAGAGAGGGGGCTCAACATTAGACACATCAGACAATATCTTCAAACACAACCTGACAAAACTAACACGGCACAAACAAAATTAACGTATCAATATTCCCGTCAAGAACAAAGAATCATGGATGGTTGAAAATATGTCTGCCTTGCCTCAGAGTATAAAATAACCAAGTTTATGGCAGCAGTTCTCATAAAGTTCTTCTTCAAACACCCGCACACACACACATACACTGTCAAAAAAAACACACACAAACACACCCCTGCTGGGCTGGATTAAAAGGGTTGATGACTTGGCTGTTGAGACATGCACTGTGGGGCATGCTCTACCCTTTCCTGCTGATATGTGCACACAAACACACAGGCATTTGCACACACACGTACATACACACCATCGCCTGCTGAGCAGCTCCCCCAAGGCTCTGGCAAACTATTACCATCACCGGCACAGTGAGGGTCCGCCAACAGCCTGATTTTGACTCACACAATACAAACACAAAAAAAAATAATAATAAATAAATAAAAAAACCATATACAGCATATAGTGTTTTAGTATTTTGCCTGCTAAACTACTTCAATACCCACTACATTTTTGTACACAGTGTGTGTCTGCTCCATCACCTGAGATTTTCAAGTGGTTCTGTATAAACGCAGGTTGAAGAGGATATGTGGGAGATGGGAAATGTTGGCACCACTCTACCACTAACCTTATAGCATGATACCCAGACAACTTTCTCTGCAATATCACCGTGCAACAAATGCCTCTCTGCAACCCAGAATTCTAACCCAGAGACACAACTTAATACTGTAATACAAGAAATACTTAGCAAAACCAATGCCTGACCTATTTGTGTCAAAAAAATAAATAAATGAAGACATGACAACCTGTTGTTGTGGACAGGCCGGCTAAAGTTAATTTATTTTTGTTTTTTGACAAATTCACTCATTATTCTGAACAACTGCAATCAGCTACTTAGATAGCAAAGTATCTGGACAGCTAACATCACGCTAACTATCATCAATGCTACTATCGTGTAGTCAAGTTCTTGTCATATAAAGAATTTAAAATGCATGCAGGAGTGTGATAGATTTCTTAAAAGAAGTATTAGTAATTCATAGTCAGGTATAATAACGTTACAACAGAGATGCTAAGACAGTTAATTTAGCTAATTAGCCATTTGGTCTCCTCAGTTTGTTTAAATCTACAACAGAGCTGCTATCTCTCTACATTGAGTTACCTTTGATAAACATAAAACAGTAAAAGCGCTTTTATTTTTAAATGGATACAACTACAGAAGCTGTAATATTCTGTTGAAGGTTAAATGTGTTACAAAATAGCATTAGAGTAAAGTACACTCCTGTGTTTTTCTACTTAAAATGATTCTTTTAAAGCAAAAATGATGATTGCCCCTAATAGTTAATCATATCGCAATCGTAATATTTGTCAAAAAAATGGCAATGTGATTTTTTAAAACATTTTGTTTCGCGCTCGTCACTTGGAAACTATAGGTGACACGCCGAAGCTTGAAAAAAAGAAAGAAGAAGAAGCAAAACACTTGTGGACTGCTGTCACACTAACATACTGCTTTGGACAGGCCATGCTGTTTTCTGTTATATTTCCCAAAATCTGACAGCAAACAGGCACCACACCGCTTTCTCCTTTCCTCACCTGCTTTAATCAAATAGGCCTCCCTGGTAGCACCGACCAAGGTTATTTAACGTGTGACGCAACTGAAAAAAACGAAGCACGTGTGTGACTTTCGAGCAAGTACTCCACTTCCCTAAGGCCTAGGTTAATCAAACACAGCAGTGGCCTGCACTTCATAGGATTTATGTAAGTCTTTTGAGGCTCTCCAGCATTGGCCACATAGTCCACGGGGCCTGGGTAAGAGGCTAGGAACTGTGCTTACTTCACCATGTCAAGAGGTGACCCCCACAGCGGTTGGACAGTAAGAGGCACTTGGGCTTACATGAGGGAGCTGTTAATGAGAGCTAGAAACACATGAAAGGCAGACCGATGATGGAGGGGGGTGCCAAAACAGGAGAGATGGAGGAGGAGATGCTGGAGGGAGCAGGGCATTAGAATTATTGGAATTATATTGGAATTATGAAAATATGTGCACTATTTGCATCATTCACCATGAAAAATAAACATCTTCTTTAGGTTTTAGGCATTCTGCTGATGTTGACTGGCTGATGTTACGGTGCATAAAATGTTTTGGGTTTTTTTGATGGACATAGACATTCAATTTTGCAGACATTAAATCTGTTTCTCTGAGGTCAGGGGAAGGTCTCTGTAACCACTAGTTCACCTGCTGTGCAGAATAAATAGTAGAGTATATTTAGAGTGGAATAGTAATGCACTGCTGCTAATTTGGCTGGAATACGGAGGGAAAAAAAAGCATTTTCTTCTTATTTATTTTTCTCAGCAAACTGGGTGAAAGTGTGGGGGCATGTTTGTGAAGCAAAACCAGCTGGTAGAGAAGAAGACACATAAGATATATGTGCACCTGCGCATGGACACTACACTACACTACTGTAACCCACACCACAAACACCGGACAACATAAAGCCATTGTGTGTGTTTACTTTGGGTGATGGCAGTAGTGTGAGACAAGTAACCATAGCAACATCCTATGTCCTGACCTGGAAATGTGTTTCTTTTCTGCTTTCTGTTTTCATTTACTCCCTCCGCTGCCACCGTTTGGATCGGGTTGTCTTTCGTGGGATTCTCGCATGCGACTCTTCACGCGGAACACGGGACATTAAGGTTGGTTTTTTCTGGCTCTGTCTGTGGTGACACTTTGACAAATGCATGGCACAGTTGGGCTGAGGGAACGCTAATGTAGCATGTTGTGAAATATGCTCAAGGACATCATGCTGTCTGGCATATGATGGGGTTATAGACTGTCACTTGAACACGCTCTCGTACTTTCAAACTAAATATGCTGTGATGTAACATCCATACAGACTGCGCCGCAGCCGGTGACACATGTTCCGCTAACAATGTCACTGAACTGTTAAATCCAGATATTCAGTATGAATGAAATGCTATATTCTATAGTATAGCATATGACAAATAGCATTTCTGTTTTCCCATTGGAACTCTGAATTGGGAGATGCATATAGACAGCATATATTTACCTTAAAAACAAATCTAACACTTTTTTATTAAACATTTATCTAATCTCAGACCTATCAAAAGTGAAGATAGATAGCATTATAGGCCAAACCATGCAGAGGTAAATCCTTACCCATATTTTACGGATGAAAAGAAGTCAAAAGCGTTAAGCAAATTGTTTTTGGGACAATGAACAATGAATATTCATAGACCCACGGTCTGTGCAAGAGTAGACCCTAAAGTGCTGTCTTCATGAGGCCATTCTGTCCCACTTCACTCTAAAACAGCACTTTACTGTGGGCAACCATAAATATTCATTAGCTTTGATGTCTTCCTTCCCCCTTCCACCTTGACATTAATGTTATCACCAAGGATGGCAAAATATGTATATCCCTCATTCCCTGTCTCTCTCCTCTCGGCTCTGTCTTCATTCTTTAATTCAGTGAAGTGACAATATGACTCATCCGATTTTTGTCTTCACTGTAGAACTCATGCAAATATGTACTCATGCTAATATCACAGCACTGAAAGTATCACTGTCCCCAAATAAAGGATTATTTCTTTAAATATTCATGATACGTTACAATAGCATCAAGTTTTAATGGCTGCTCAAAAGTTCTTAAGTGTTATAGTTCCAAAGAAACTTTGCAAAACTTTGTTGCAAGACAACCACACTGATTTTTGAGGCAAAGTCCTCTTGCAACAAAACTTGTAAAAAAAAATGTGACCTCACTCTGCTCAACATTTATTCAGCATTTCGAATAGACTCTGGGATAAAAGAATGCGTATGTTTGTTACTGCTACACTGTACGTTCTCCCCAATGGTAAAAGCAAATGGGAACGATCACCAATTATACTACTCTCCATGTGCCTGTCTCTGGAATCCCCACAGTCTTGGCAGAAATGCTGAAAGGCTTCAACAGTTGCAGTTCTAGCTGCTCTGAACTGCCACTGTAATGCTTCGTAAAATCACAAAGAGCCACACTCGGAATGACTGAAATATAAAAATACCCACTGACATTGTTTAAGGATCTCATCCTTTTGAGAAAATAAATGCACTGCTGAACTCGTACTGTTGATATTCAGTGTGTTACTCCACATTAGCCACCTAATACTTGTGTGTAACTTGTTTATTATAACCATAATTTATCCCTGGTGGATTCTTGTGATGAAATAAACCAAAAAACTCTGTCTTGTTTGGTGGCAATTAAGAAGTCCTTATCGCTCCAGGCTAGAAAACATTTGTTACAAAAGGGTCTAATAACAAAATACAAACTTTGTAATGACAAAAGTATTTGCTGTTAAAGGAAACTGTCACTATTGCTCAAAAATCTTTAGAAAAATTTGCCGTGCTCAGACTTTTTCCCCATAAAGGCAACATATATGACTACTTAATGGACATATTAGATCTGAGGTTCTCATTGGCAAAGCCTCACTCATTTCAGCTTGGGTAGTGAGTTTACATGAGAAGCTGCGTATCATATTCTCCAATATACAGCAGATATATGTGCTTATACACAATAAAAACACAAGCAAAATAAACACAGTGATCATGGCATGTTTTAAAAGCATTACCTAGTCTTATGCCTTGTCCAGAGCGACATTACCACCCATCTCATTCATTTCAATGAGACAACTTCACTAACACAGTCAGTCAAAAAAAACCTCCTTATAGAGACCGAGCCACTATATTAATGGAGAACGTTTAAAGGACCAGTGTGTAGAATTGGGAGGCATCTATCGGTGAAGTTGCAGATTGGAACCATTTGAATACAGCTCAGCCTTCAAAGCATGAGAAACTATGATGGCCACGAAACTCGTGAAATGCCCTATCTAGAGAAAG